GAGTAAAGCACAGGGGGAAAGTAAAGGCTGGAATGTTTAAAGGTCCCCTATTATACTGTTTCTCATCAATATATCACAGGTCTCAGATATATACAGAGCCTGTCTCTGATTGGCTGAGACACCAAACAGATCTTTGCAGCATTACCCATAATCCCCTCTGTTTCAGCCCTGTTTCCAAAGTGCTGATTCTCTGTCTGTTACTTTAGATGAAAATAAGGAGCCCCTCCCCACGCCCCTCTGAGAGACATTTGGTTACAAAGAACTCAATGGTGCTCTAGGAGGAGATTCAGGTGATAAGGTGGGGGGGGGGGGGGGGGGGGGGGGTGGTTACCTTGGTTGGTGATTGGCTAATGGTTACACAAGACAACACATCGTTATGACATCATAAAGTGGCCAAAATCTGATCAGCTCATTTTCAGACAGGTTTTTATAGAAATGGATCAAAAAGAGAGAGAATCTTTGTTCCTGAAACTTTCAGAGTCTCTTTCCACAGAGGGGACACATGTTGATGTAGAAGAGACATGAAGAAGAGGGGACACATGTTGATGTAGAAGAGACATGAAGAAGAGGGGACACATGTTGATGTAGAAGAGACATGAAGAAGAGGGGACACATGTTGATGTGGAAGAGACATGAAGAAGAGGGGACACATGTTGATGTAGAAGAGACATGAAGAAGAGGGGACACATGTTGATGTAGAAGAGACATGAAGAAGAGGGGACACATGTTGATGTAGAAGAGACATGAAGAAGAGGGGACACATGTTGATGTAGAAGAGACATGAAGAAGAGGGGACACATGTTGATGTAGAAGAGACATGAAGAAGAGGGGACACATGTTGATGAAGAATAGACATGAAGAAGAGGGGACACATGTTGATGTAGAAGAGACATGAAGAAGAGGGGACACATGTTGATGTAGAAGAGACATGGAGAAGAGGGGACACATGTTGATGTAGAAGAGACATGAAGAAGAGGGGACACATGTTGATGTAGAAGAGACATGAAGAAGAGGGGACACATGTTGATGTAGAAGAGACATGAAGAAGAGGGGACACATGTTGATGTAGAAGAGACATGAAGAAGAGGGGACACATGTTGATGTAGAAGAGACATGAAGAAGAGGGGACACATGTTGATGTAGAAGAGACATGAAGAAGAGGGGACACATGTTGATGTAGAAGAGACATGAAGAAGAGGGGACACATGTTGATGTAGAAGAGACATGAAGAAGAGGGGACACATGTTGATGTAGAAGAGACGTGAAGAAGTGGATTTTGCATAATAGGTCCCCTTTAATGCCGAATAAGTGTGTCGGCTTCGGCAGAAAGAAGTGTGTTCATGAGGGCATATAATAGGTATCAGAGTGGATTAGGGTTCGAACAAAGTAGCTCAGTTGTGTCACAATAATGGCCAAAGTGAAGGAACCTTGAGTTATCAGATATGAGCCCGACTAGCGACCCCTAACCCTAACCCTAACCCCTGTCACTCAAAACAACTGTACACGACTTTAAGAGTAAATACAATTGAAAAGTATGTTTGAACTGTAAGGGGATATTAGGTAAAGTACATATTCTTATCGAGCAGCGCATACCTGGAAGACTATACCCACAGATCTGAGGAACTCTTTCTCTGTAAAACATTATTACAGGCGGACAGCCAAACGTTATGTCGGCATAAACTGTAGCCGAGGTTATATCATTACTTTCCAATGTCTTTAAGCTTTTATATATGCTTGTTTGTCCATTTGTATCTGTTGTGTGTGAATGGGTTTGTATTCATGTGCTTTTAAATCTGCACATGTGCTTCAAAACACGTTCGATGTGCTGTGATTGTCCTCATAAGATTGTTTCTGTGTTAAGGTGCTCTTGTTTATCTTCTTTCAATACTAATAATACAAATACATGTGGTTTATATAGCGCTTCTCCTGGTGCTCAAAGCGCTTAAATGCCAATTCAATGCCATCAACTTGCCAGGGACTGCAGATGAAAACTAGCCTCTATGGTTCAATCTGGCACACAAGCATGATGGACTACTGTGCTCATGTTCATTCAAAAGCATTGTGTCGCGAATCAATATTTACAAAGACATTGCAGCAGAAGAGAAGCTACAGGCCAAACTAACTTCTACAAAGAGAGTTGGACAGCTGGTAGGACGAAGTACAGAACTTCCTCCATCCAGTGAAGAATGGAATTCACAACCCAATAACAGGCACAATGAGGGAGACCCATCTGCCTCTGATGAGAGCTCAGAGTGAGATGACACTTGTGAAGAAGCAGTATGAGGTCTCGCTTCCTACACAGGACGGGTGAGAACGAGCGTTCAGTGATATCAGATCAAATAAGAAGTACTTTATTGATCCTACGTTGGGAAATGTTTGCGTTGCAGCAGCATAAAAAGACATGGCATTGTACAATACAAATGTAAAGACTAGAAAGTAGAAAATATACATGTTGAATTTACAAATGAACAATAACAAGATATAAAGAAAGTTATTTTATTTACATAAGTATGTGAGAAATGGAATATTACATATTAAGCTGAATATATACATGTAAAATGTACAGTGTGATTTAAGTCCATATAAGAGAAGATGAGGAAAGAAGTACTTTATTGATCATAATTTGGGACATTTTAGGGATAAAAAGACAAGGCATTGTACATTAGAGAAATTAAAGGCTAAAAATGATCAATCCAAAATGTAAACATCTCAAATTGAAATAAAATAGCATTAAAAATGTAAAAACATGTACTTATCGCCGGGTCGCGGGATTGCTAATTTGTAAATTCAACATGTATATTTTCTACTTTCTTGTTTATTTCTATATGTCTTTTAATTTGTATTGTACAATGCCTTGTCTTTTTATGCTGCTGCAACACAAACTGGGATCAATGAAGTACTATATTATCTTATCTTAAGTTCTACTCAGCGTAAAGCCGAATGTCAAAAATGCAAAAGTACAGTGTCAGTGAGCGCAGGGCTTTCCCTTCCTGCAGAGTGCCGCCTCTCAGAGGACCTGCCCTGCTTCTACCTCAAATAGCACAACAAGGACGCCTGCTAGAAATAGTGTAGCATCACATCCCGCTGTACCTCAGCGTTTTAACCCTTTGATACACAACGTGGATCAAAAGTGACCCGAGTGAGTCAATATATTTGCAACAAATGACTTTAAAGGTCGCCTATTATGCAAAATCCTCTTCTTCATGTCTCTTCTACATCAACATGTGTCCCCTCTTCTTCATGTCTCTTCTACATCAACATGTGTCCCCTCTTCTTCATGTCTCTTCTACATCAACATGTGTCCCCTCTTCTCCATGTCTCTTCTACATCAACATGTGTCCCCTCTTCTTCATGTCTCTTCTACATCAACATGTGTCCCCTCTTCTTCATGTCTCTACTACATCAACATGTGTCCCCTCTTCTTCATGTCTCTTCTTCATCAACATGTGTCCCCTCTTCTTCATGTCTCTTCTACATCAACATGTGTCCCCTCTTCTTCATGTCTCTTCTACATCAACATGTGTCCCCTCTTCTTCATGTCTCTACATCACCATGTGTCCCCTCTTCTTCATGTCTCTTCTTCATCAACATGTGTCCCCTCTTCTTCATGTCTCTTCTACATCAACATGTGTCCCCTCTTCTTCATGTCTCTTCTACATCAACATGTGTCCCCTCTTCTTCATGTCTCTACATCACCATGTGTCCCCTCTTCTTCATGTCTCTTCTTCATCAACATGTGTCCCCTCTTCTTCATGTCTCTTCTACATCAACATGTGTCCCCTCTTCTTCATGTCTCTTCTACATCAACATGTGTCCCTCTTCTTCATGTCTCTTCTACATCAACATGTGTCCCCTCTTCTTCATGTCTCTTCTACATCAACATGTGTCCCCTCTTCTTCATGTCTCTTCTACATCAACATGTGTCCCCTCTTCTTCATGTCTCTTCTACATCAACATGTGTCCCCTCTTCTTCATGTCTCTTCTATGTGTCCCCTCTTCTTCATGTCTCTTCTACATCAACATGTGTCCCCTCTTCTTCATGTCTCTTCTACATCAACATGTGTCCCCTCTGTGGAAAGAGACCCTGAAAGTTTCAGGAACAAAGATTCTCTCTCTTTTTGATCCATTTCTATAAAAACCTGTCTGAAAATGAGCTGATCAGATTTTGGCCACTTTATGATGTCATCACGATGTTTTGTCTTGTGTAGCCATTAGCCAATCAGCAACCAAGGTAACCCCCCCCCCCCACCTTATCACCTGAATCTCCTCCTAGAGCACCATTGAGTTCTTTGTAACCAAATCTCTCTCAGAGGGGCGTGGGGAGGGGCTCCTTATTTTCATCTAAAGTAACAGACAGAGAATCAGCACTTTGGAAACAGGGCTGAAACAGAGGGGATTATGGGTAATGCTGCAATGATCTGTTTGGTATTTCAGCCAATCAGAGACAGGCTCTGGATATATCTGAGACCTGTGATATGTTGATGTAACACAGTATAATAGGGAACCTTTGACATTTCAGAATTCCAGGTATTCCTCAATCACCTTGTTTTTGATCATCACAAATTCTTACTTTCATTTGTCCTTTCTTAATCTTTGAATAAAGGTAGCACATGATGGACGGTGCTGGCGGGCGTAATGATGTGTAAATGACCGGGCGAGGAGACATCGAAATGTTTTCCCTGGCGCTGAAGGAGCATTTCATAAACACAATCATTGCTTAAAATATTCATAACAAACAAGAACATGGGGTTAGCCTCCCTCCTCACAGCAGACCATTACGCCTGGCTTTGTGCGCCTTAATTAAGTCAACAAATGGCTTATAAGATCACAGTGCCACTACACCGCCTATAGGTTCAGTCTTTAACACGTGCCCAGACAAATTAGAGCACTTTGTTCAACAACAAAGAAAGGAATTGCAATGGCATGCAGCGAGCACAATTTGCATTGAGTGCAGGAAGCGATGATACATTGCTCTTATAAAACACAAACAAAAGACTTACAGCTCGGAGATTTGCAGGTGCTGGAAGAGCTGCCACGACAGAGTGCTGAGAGGATTCTTCGACAAGTCTCTGCAAAGGAAAGAAAAACAGAGAAAAGTTACATTGATTTATTTCATATTAATTATTTGATGTCCCTCGCTTGATGTCATGTCTCTTCTGTTTTGTACCATTTCCTCGTTTTTGATGTCCTTTGGATTCAGAGACCCAATTAGCTAATCTTTCTGAGGGTTATTTTGACGTTTTATCTCTCGCTTTTGAAGTTAAATTCATTCTCTAGTCTCTTTAGGTTTTCCTTGTCCCACTTCCAGTTCACTGCGTGCTTGTATCTACAGAAACTTGGTGCTAATGTATAAATCATATCGACTAAATTGCAGTTCAATAAAATAGCTAGAATACATAAAATAGTGGGATCTGGATATGCAGGCTTCGCAATTATGGCTGAAACTAAAGCAAAGTGTTATTGACAAAGAGGCGGAAACAGGCCTCTCTGTGCGGAGCTTCAGGGCTCAGACAACTCAATAAAAGAAAGTTGACCGCTCTCAAGTCAGATAATTCGATTGACTTAAGGAACCCCTCCGGCGCAGGAAGCCACTAAATTCAATAGCGAAAAGCCAGAAGATCTGTGAATCAGTTGAAATATGAGCATCAGAAGTCTGTTTATACACTTAAGAAATACAGCATCTCCAGGAGAGCTTTAACACAGACATAAACCATTACATCCAATTATCAGTCCATGATTTACTGTCAAATCATGAGACATGAAGGAATAATGGTTTTATCAGTTTCATTTTAAAACATTAAGTGCAGACACCCAGCTACTATCTGATATTTTATTTGAAGTAGGGATGGGAACGATTAATCAAATATTCGAATGTTCAAAATTATTGAGGTATTCGAATATGAGTTATGAATATTTGTATTGTAATTATTTTTTTTGGGTGGGGTGCCTAAGTTGATTACATATTATCAAATGGAATAATTCAATGTATACGACAGTGCCATAGCTAAGTGTGTTAGGTCTAAAGGTGTGTTTTGCTCCGCTCACCGGTCCCTCACAGCGGGCAGAGCTGCAGGTGCTGATCTCTCTCTCTTGCGTCCGGTTATACTTCACTCACGTTTATGTCCAAATCCATCAGAAAACCAAGTTATGTTTTAAGCATGAAAGCTGTAGGCCTATAGCTGTCAACTGTTCAAACTGTGATCACCAGTTCAATGCATGTTTACAAATTCGACTTGGTTTCTATACTTATTTGAACACGTATTTATTTATTTTTCAAAATTAATAATTTTTTTTATAGGATATACTTTTTGGTTAATCGGTTAACCGTTTTTTTTGGGGGTTGAATATTCGAATATACATTTGCTTTCAAATTCCCATCCCTAATTTGAAGTGCATGTTTTTTCCTGAATCCTCGGTATGACTCGCATGTTTTGCACGTGAACTCCTCGTATCACACCTGACTATAAAGACAGCGAAAGGTGATCTATTCACCAATAGAAGTGACATATGCAGGAAATAGCATATAAGAGATGCTGAGGTATTGCACATACTAATATATAAATAGAACAGGCTATACAGTATATCAGAAAGCAGCACAGTAGATATCATGAACATCTTAGTAATGTGAACGCAGAACAATCCTTTATTAGCCCCACAGCGGGGACAGCAGCACTAAGGACACAGAGTAGATAATAAAGCAATACAAACAAGTAGACTCATATAATAAATAAAGAAGCAAGCACATAATAAATATATCAGTAATGGATATAAAAAAAAACGATATATGAAAATTCCAAAATGCCAAAATTGATCATAAAGCATTATAAAAGCTAACGGCAATAGTTAATATTTATAGTTTATTAATTTTTTTTTTTTTTTTTAAAGTCCATCCTACACGGTGGCAGGTTAATTTGTATGGAGGACCCATTAGATACTCCTGTTATAACCAGTAAGTATCGCCATGGCAACAGGGAGATGAGGATGCTGCATGTCTTTTTCATTTCCTGTGAAATCACGTATGCACACACACACACACACACTCACTCACACACACACACACACACACACACACACACACACACACACACACACACACACACACACACACACACACACACACACACACACACACAAAGGTAAAAGTTAGCATGAAGCCACTCACACACTGGTTACATATTGTCACCTTGAAATGTGTGTTTGTGCAAATGCTGCGCTGCTCTGAATACAGAGTGTGTGTGTGTATGTGTGTGTGTGTGAGAACATGTGAAGATGCTGCATGAAATGTCACCTCCCCAATAATATCGTGGTCCCAAAGGGAGCGTGTGATACACAGAGAGAATACATTAAACAGAGAGAGAGAGAAGGTGTGTGAGCAGACAGCAGCTCATTATGGGATGTAGAGCAACACTGACATCAGATCACACAGACATAAATACACTCAATTTAGACCAAGGATCTCCAAATAGACACGCCAAACGACAGGTATTAAAGAGGCCCCTTTATGCCCCCTTTCCTGTATTGTTTATAGGTTTTTGTGCATGTAAATGGTCTGCAAGGGCTAAAATCACACATTTCCACCCCACACTGCCCCCCTCCATTGGACTCCTTAGTTTACCTCCCAAACATATAGTGACATCCCTGTTTAACACTCGCGCTTTTTTATTGGTTAGCGCTCCAACTCATTGTACGTGATAGGCTAAAGGGGCGGGACCTATCGGGCTGGCAACTGCCACCCTAAAAAACCCCAGCTGCCACCCCAGTTGGCAGCTTTGTTTTGAAATAAAAGTTGTGGCTCATCGGACATGTATGAGAGAAAGTCCCTAATGTCCGAGTGCAAGTGAATGCAGCACAAGAGGCGAGTCTTGTAATCCCTCCCCCGGCACTGTCGCGAGCATGGAAATGTGATTGCCGGCGATTTAATTTGAATGGGACGGCGCAAAACGAATAGGACCCAAGTAGACGGAAGGAATGAGGTATTTGCGGTCTACAAAGACAGAGAAGAGACTGTGAAGTTTGGCTGTACTCAGCATTGAATCAAAACGCACTAAAGCTTTGGATCTTAATACGTTTGTGAGGCGTTTTGCTGAACAACATGGTAATCGCCGCATTCAGCTGTTAAAGGCATGCCAATGTGATGCTCTGCTCACGGATGACTCCATCCATCCATCTTCTCCCGCTTATCCGTGGTCGGGTCGCGGGGGTAGCAGTTCCAGCAGAGAGCCCCAAATGTTCCTTCCCCTGGCGACATCAACCAGCTCTGACTGAGGGATCCCAAGGCGCTCCCAGGCCAGCGAAGAGATATAATCCCTCCACCTGGTCCTAGGTCTACCCCTTGGTCTCTTCACAGCTGGACGTGCCTGGAACACCTCCCTAGGGAGGCGCCCAGGTGGCATCCTTTCTAGGTGCCCGAACCACCTCAACTGACTCCTTTCGACGCAAAGGAGGAACTCGATAAGCATAAACAACTGTTAAGATGATGACCTTACGTGTGTAAATATTTTATTTTTCTTTGTGGGGGTCTGCCCCCAAAAAACAGTTTACCGTCCTGAGAAAGTCAAATAAGACGGTGTGTAAAACTACACTGCCCAGCCAAAGTGCTTTGATTTAACTAGGCGAGTAGGTAAGGACTTTCCTCTGGATAATCACTGCAGCGATGTTTATGTTTTAGCTGAATACACGTTTTTTAGCCCTAACTGATGCAGTTAGTCACTTATTTAATGTTTGTTCTTTCTGATGTAAAGTCAAGGTTGTAACTGTTTGCAATGAAGTTGTGGGGCGCTGAACTGTTCTTTTTATTCTTTTGAATTTTGATATATGATCGTAATTACTTGTCTTTCAAATTTGAAGGAGGGTGAGCAAGCATCTTGAGGAGCATTCATCATTAAAATATAGTTTATTTAATAATAAATGAATATGTGAATCATAACAGTGATTGACAGCTGATAGGAATAATATGATTGTTGATAGTATCATATTAATTCAGACAAACATCGACGAGAAAGTTAATTAATGTACTTATTGCAGCAGTCTGCATAGATTTGGTACCCATGCTGGTCTAAGAGTGAAACAAACTCATTCAGTTATTGTTCAGTTAAAATTCATTAAATGATGTCTGCCACCTTATATATCTCTATTAAAGGCTTTACTGATGTGCCACAATAATGTCACGTATTGTTATTGAGTAAAAATATCAATATTGTGGCTTTCCAAGTTAACATATGACTGCGATTAAATCAGCATATACTTCTGCCAGGGGATGCCACCCCTCAAATTATCCTGCCACCCCATGAATATTTTTTCTAGATCCGCCCCTGGGCTGGACATCTCTAAGCGGTTGACCAATCACAATAGAGCCGGCCAGCTAACCAATCAGAGCAGACTGTGCTCTGGTTTCAGACAGAGGGTGAAAAGAGGTGCTGCAGCACAGACAGTATGAGAGAAATAAAGAGCTTTTTGAACATTAAAGCATGGAGACATGTAGAGACACTACATACTGATATACACCTGAACATCAGCAGGAGAGGACTCTTTAAAGTAGAGACACTACATACTGATATACACCTGAACATCAGCAGGAGAGGACTCTTTAAAGTAGAGACACTACATACTGATATTCACCTGAACATCAGCAGGAGAGGACTCTTTAAAGTAGAGACACTACATACTGATATACACCTGAACATCAGCAGGAGAGGACTCTTTAAAGTAGAGACACTACATACTGATATACACCTGAACATCAGCAGGAGAGGACTCTTTAAAGTAGAGACACTACATACTGATATACACCTGAACATCAGCAGGAGAGGACTCTTTAAAGTAGAGACACTACATACTGATATACACCTGAACATCAGCAGGAGAGGACTCTTTAAAGTAGAGACACTACATACTGATATACACCTGAACATCAGCAGGAGAGGACTCTTTAAAGTAGAGACACTACATACTGATATACACCTGAACATCAGCAGGAGAGGACTCTTTAAAGTAGAGACACTACATACTGATATACACCTGAACATCAGCAGGAGAGGACTCTTTAAAGTAGAGACACTACATACTGATA